GGACAGGGCAAGATATGACAAAATAATAATTTATAAATTATCGAGGGCTCATGAAGGAGGGGGGAGCGGGGAGGGAGGGGAAAAAATGAGGACCTAATGCTGGGGGCTTAAGTGGAGAGCAAATGTTTTGAGAATGATGAGGGCAATGAATGTACAAGTGTGCTTTACACAATTGATGTGTATGGATTGTGATAAGAGTTGTATGAGCCCCTAATAAAACGATTAAAAAAAAAAAGAAAGTGAGGAATTGACACACTTGCTGATGAAGATCAAGGATTGCCGTCTTCAGCATGGATTACAACTCCATGTACAGAAAATCAAAATCTTCACAACTGGATCAAGGTAACATCGTGATATCCAGAAAAATGAATGAAGTTATCAAAGATTTTGTCTTGCTTGGATCCACAATCAATGTTCATGGAAATTGTAGTCAAGTGCTCAATCGATGTGTTGCATTAGGGAATCTGCAGTACAAGACCTCTTTAGAGTATTGAAAAGCAAGGCTATTACTTTGAGGATTAAGGTGCACCTGACTTGAGCCGTGGTATTTTCAATGGCTTCCATATGTATGTGAAAGTTGGACACTGGATAAAGAAGAATTAGTGCATTTGAATTGTTGTGTTGGTGAAGAATATTGAAAGTACCATGGATTTCCAAAAAGAACAAACCAATCTGTATTGGAAGGAGTACAACCAGAATGCTCCTTCGAGGCAAGGACTGTGCTACTTCATCTCAAGTACTTTGACAATGTTGTCAGGAGAGATTAGTCCCTTGAGAAGGACAACATGCTTGGTAAAGTGGAGGGGCAATGAAAAGGAAGAAGATTCTTGATGAAAAATAGACTGACACACTGGCTGTAACAATGGGCCAAATCATAAGAACAATTGTGAGGATGGTGTAGGACTGAGTGGTGTTTCATTCTGTTAATGTAAGGTCACTGTGAGTCAGAACTGACTTGATAGCACCTAACAATGTATCACATTTGAAAAAATCTGGGGCACAAGACCTCCTTAAAGTGGTGAAAGAACAAACATGTCACTTTGAGAATTAAGGTGTGCCTGACATAAGTCATGATATTCTCAATCATCTCATATGTGTGTTAAAATTGGACACTGAATAAAGAAAACTGAAGAAGAATTGATCTGTTTGAGTTATGATGCTGCAAAGAATACAGGAAAAAAGATGGACGGCAGAAGAAAAAAATGAATCTGTCTTGGAAGAAGTACAGCCAGAACACTCCTCATAAGCAAGGATGGTAAGACTGACTGTGTCTCATATACTTTGGACATGTTATCAAGAAGACCAGTCCCTGGAAACGGACATTATGCTTGCTAAAGTAGAGGGTCTGTGAAAAAGAAACAAACTATTAATAAAATGGACAAAACGGCTGCAAATGATTGGTTCAAACGTCACAGTGAGGATGGCACAGGATTGGGTCGTTTCATTCTGTTGTACATATGGTTGTTTTGAATTAAAACCAACCTAAAAGAACGGCTAATGATCAGAAACATCCTTTCATGTATCTGTTGGCTGCTTGACTGTCCTCTTTGGTGAAGTGTCTTCATGTCCCTTTAATTTTTTTATTGGGTTTTATTGTCTTACTATTGTTGAGATGTTGACATTTTCTATCGATTTTAGAGGTTAGACCCTAGACCCTTAACAGACATCTTTGCCAAAGAATTTTTCCCAGATTGTACTTTTTTTCTTCTGTTAGTAAAGGCTTTTGATGAACATATGACATATTTATCAGGAAATCTCGGTTATATAACTTATCTTCTGTCATTTGTGCATTTTTAGTTTGGTTTGGTAGGTCAAAAGCTAGGTCTCCTAGTTATGGCTTTATTTTCTAGGAATTTGATAGTGCTAGCTTTTGCATTTATGTCTTTGAGCTATTTTGAGTTAGTTTTTATTCATGATATCATGAGGTAAGGAACTTGATATATTTTTCTGTTTATAGACATACTGTTTTGTCGACACCATTAAAATTTTTTTTAAAATCATTTTATTAGGGGCTCTTACAACTCTTACCACAATCCATACATACGTCAATTGTGTAAAGCGCATCTGTATATTCATTGCCCTCATCTTCTCAAAACATTTGCTCTCCATTTAAGCCCCTGGCATCAGTTCCTCATTTTTTCCCCTCCCTCTCCACTCCCCACTCCCTCATGAACCCTTGATAATTTATAAATTATCATTTTGTCATATCTTGCACTGCCAGACGTCTCCCTTCATCCACTTTTCTATTGTCCATCCCCCAGGGAGGAGGTTATATGTAGATCCTTGTAATCAGTTCCCCCTTTCCAAGCCACCCTCCCTCCACCGTCCCAGTATCATCACTCATACCACTGGTCCTGAAGGGATCATCTGCCCTGGATTGCCTGTGTTCCCAGTTCCTATCTGTACCAGTGTACATCCTCTGGTCTAGCCAGATTTGTAAGGTAGAACTGGGATCATGATAGTGGTGGTGGGGGGGTGGGGGAGGCATTTAGGAACTAGAGGAAAGTTGTATGTTTCATCATTGCTACATCGAACCCTGACTGGCTCATCTCCTCCCCGACACCCTTCTGTAAGAGGGT